CTGAAATGTTCATCACATTTCGGACAAATATTCACCTTCTTTCCGTATTAACTGCCAGTTTCTCAAGTGCATCAAGCTTATTATCACAAATTTTATAAATTTTGACAATACTAATATTGATCAGTACGAATGCAACGAACTATCGAACCTGAATAGCACTTGTTTTTTTTTCAATCATTTAGATTTGCAATTTAGGGACATGGCGAAATCTCTTTACCCTTCCTGCATTTTCTTTATTGGGTTGGCAAAGAAGGAAAATACGTTAGAAATGGAAATATTTGAGAAAACTGATGAATATATGCAGAAGGTTATTTCGAAACCGACGTGCCAAACGGAAAAAAATTGCGATAAATTGGTGAATAAATGGCTAAAATAAAAGAAGAAATTCATTTGAATTCATCTGGTAAATTTGCCTAATCACTTGGCAACAGTGTGCGAGTGGTATAATTTGACAACTTTGACATTTGTTTATGTACCTTTATGATAAAAATATCTGCGTTTTCACGAATTATCCAATGTTATTCGCAAAAAACGCAGTAAATAGGTGAAAGATGCTGTTGATGTGTTGGCTAGAATGACATTAGGGGAGAGTCGGATAATGGCGCGCGGTCGATAATACCGCGCACCACATTATCTCCCAATAGAAAGTAATTTTTGGCAATACCCCACAAATAGTCGTTGGCTTGAACGTCTTCTTTCGCCCCGCAGTTCAAATATTTCCATTCCAAACACTGGATCGAGCTCGGTATGTGTTTATTGTTTACCGTGAAAATTCTTATAACTTTTATCATTTTTTGGATCGAGGTAGGTACTAAACCTTTTATTTAAATGTTACATATTGTGCTGCGATAGACGGCTAATAATATTAGGAAAACTATGTGATGTTGATTGCTTGTCCCACATTTACATTTTCTGAATTATCTTTGCTTAAAATTAAAATGGCCACATCTGATAATTGCGCGCTCAGGGCTCGGTATTATCAGCCGCGCGGTATTATCAGACCATGTTAATATAGTTTTCCTACAGATGACTGAACCTATTCCACAAAGAAAAAAGCAGATGAAAGCTGCTTCCCAAGCTGTACGTTCTGGAAGAAAAGTTAAAGAGGTGGCAAGAACTTTCGACTTGCCAGAATCGTCAATACGAGACAGACTTAAGAGAGGAGCATATTGGGATCCTCATATGGGTCGGCATGCAACATTCTCAAATGAAGAAGAGAAAGAGTTAAAGGAGCATGTAATCCTACTAGCGAAAACAATTTATAGGGTCACTCAGCAACAACTACGTAAACTGGACCACGAATTTGCTGTTGAGAAAAACAATTGTTCCCAGTGGGTGCATAAAGACTGCAGTGGTCAAGAATCTGCCGATAACTATATTTGCGATTTTTGCTAATTTCTTTTGTATTGATCAATAAATGCTGCCTTAAATGAAGACATATTTTTGGAACACGGTATTGTCAAACAGGGGGCGCGGTGTTATCAGACTGGTATGATAATACCGCGCTTTTATTGACTTTTGTTTTTTTTTCTCCCCCCTCTACCACTTTAACTTGACTCAAAATTTCTCATTTGAACTTGTTTGCCAGATAAGTCATCTATAAGCTGGCATATACAGAGTTGGAATTCAATACATCTAATGATTTATAGAGCGTGTTTTCCTTAAGGGCGCGCCAATATCCGACTCTCCCCTATCCAAAAACTATGCTTTTTTCAACTGAAAAAGAGCATATCTCTCAAAGTTGTATTTTCCACACGAAAATTTCGCTCGCATCAGTGTTTTTTTCGTGTTTTGAATCATATGTGCAAGTTTCATGAAGATACTGAAGGTTATCTTCCGTTTTCGCTACCTTTACCGAATCGGAGATCTAATAGAGTATTCTTCATTTTTTGAATGAACTGTTTATATAATAGTGACTATAACACCACAACAATTTCTTGATTCAAAACTATCACAACTATTGATCAACAAATATGGAAAAATTCCTAATACGTTGAATGGTCATAACCATGGTTACCAGGTAAGTATCAAAAAGTTGGTAGCCAAATGGTGTACGTAAATGGTATCTTTCATTTTTTGGTTACCGATTTGACTGAAAATGGAATCGTTTTTCAATTCATGAATGGAGCAATTTGTTTATATACAGTTTAGAATTTCCGAGACAATTCGGGACCAGAATGTGACAGATTCAAAAGATTTTAATCTTCTCAATTCTTTCAGAGTCACGTTTATTGATGGTGGCTCTCAGATTATTTTAGAAAAGTATGAATTCCAAATGGGTCAAGAGTGTTATAAGGGAAAATTCCAAATATGCACTGATTTTTCTCTATAGTGTATCGTCAACAAAAATATTGAATTGAAGAAACTTTTTTTTTAATATACAAGAATAGTATCGATAATCTATGTTCATCAGAAAAAGCGGAACCATGTAGAAAAATAATAAATAAGAGAAAACGAACTACACAGGTATTTCCAGGATTCACATATACGATAGAGCCTACCTGAATTCATACAAATCATATCATCAACTGAAGGAGCTCCCTCTTACTTCATTGGTTACTAATTCATAACATGTCAGATGACATTTTTCCATGCCGAAGACTGTTCTATATTTTGGGGAAACTTTGAATTCACTTTCTTGTCAATATCTCAATTTCTAATTTCATGGTGTTAAGTGAACAATATAGGAGATGACCTCTTGCCGAATCAATATGGTTATAGTATCCTGCATTAGATGTTAGTGCCCAAATTTCAAACTTGAAACCTCTAACTAGTTCATTTCTTCATAGTCTCGCAACCTCATGAGCTCATTACGTATTACCTCTTCCCATATCAATCGGTACCATCTAGCTGTTCATCAGAACAGGTTTCAATTCCGCAACCTAGTTTAAATTTCGGTAATTCACAAAAAATCATCTAGCAAATCAACGATATTAGTTTGTCAGATGGTTGATACTTAGGTATTTTCCATGTATCTTCCTCATTTCCGAGTGTTCCCATTTCGAAAACAATTGAATATCTGAGGGATCTTTCGTTGATAAATGAACCAGCCTACACATATTTGCATAAAGATACGGCAGTGGGCGATTCGTTGTCTTCTTCCATGAGTAATCTGTTCATAAACAGATATCAAATAGAACCTAGAGAATAGTTGGATAATAATTCATGGACTGGAAGTCGATACATAGATGATGTTTTCCACAGAAAAGGAGTTCATATTTGGATTCGAAAGTAAGGATTTGCTATCATTCCTGGAAGTTCTAGTGCCAAAAATAGTTTAGAATTGCATGCGTCTGAAAAAATTACTAGCACTTTCATATATCCCTATAATCCCTATATCCCAAAGACATGATATCAGGAAAAAGTTGTGAAAAACTAGATGAAAGTACTGAGTACCCTTCGAAAATAGTGAATGAATTGATTGAGAAACGCAAATTCAGAGAGTGTCTTGGGAATCCTCGACTTTTCAGAAAGCCGAAGGCTCAAAATTCATAGTTGTTCCAAAGGGATCAAAATATACCAAGGGATTGATTCAAATATTGAAAAATTTTGTTATGAAGGTGTTGTTGGATGACAAAACGACGAAAACGGAAAAGTGTTAGATTTACAGAAGAAAAAAGGATACATATTGGTTGAAATGAGCCGAATGAGAAAAATATTCCACATATTCGGTTTCGTAGACCACACGAGTCTAGTTTTGCTCAATATGCTTTAAAAAAAGTTACAGAATGAGTGCGGAATGCTTGAAATTGTTGAGATAGGTACATGACAATATGTATTTGGATGCTTTCGATAGATTGAAAACCTGAAAATGTGGAATGAGATTTATAAACTACAAGAAAGGTTTTTCCATTATTTACCCTCTCACGTAATGATTACAGATAAAGAAAAGGCAAATATATTTGATTAACGGAACGCGCATTTCGTGCCTGAGGTTGTGATTGTTCGTTTTTTCAATTCCGGTACTTCAGAAGGAAACATTCTAGTTCACTTTGGCCAATTGTCAATCTGTTGTGAGAACTATGACAAAGTCCACCATATTGATCCTTTTAAAATATATATTTGAGGTCACAATGAATGTTGTCCCTTGTCTCTTTGAGGATCTCACAAATCCTTCACTCACACAAGTCTCCTGAAGACTAACCGACGGTTAATGTTGGTGAAGAGATAGTAATTTCTCGATATAAAAACCTTTTTGGCATCATTTATCTATTCAATTAGTCAGTTTTATGTCATATTCATTTATTCAAGAAACACTTTATTGTGAGATTTCCACTAAACGCTTCACGATAGCTCCTTCTGGCATGTCTGAATAATCTATCGCGTAGTGAAACACGTTTTGCAATTTTGTAAAACTGTTGTGTGGAGATCTCACAATGAAGTATTTTTTGAATACGTTACGGATTTTCATCAAGTATCGGCTGATTCCATCACATTCCATTATTATGAAAACTATTTACGACTTTGACTGACTGATTGATTTCACCATTATCCCCTAATAAATAACCCTCTGGCGTGCGATTTCTAGCGTATTATACGATACATAGGGAAGACTGATCGTTCCAGAGCTGGGAGTGACACTTTCTAACCAACCGGCTAGCAACTATCTTTCTTCAGATCTGAAACTACTATTTACCTTCAAGATTCACAAATTATATCATTTTCTGACTTTAGACTTTCGAACCACTAACATTAGTCATGAAGAAGATCATGACGAGTATGATACCTCAGTTTTTAATTGGCAGTGAAAGAGTCTAAAGTTACTAATACCAAGACACTATTTATTTTAGTCCAAATAACGATCATCAATGTAAACAACATCAAATGGAGAGATACTGAATGATTATTAGAATAACTGTGTTGAATATCCTTCGTCAGAAATGAATATGATAGGTTATTCACTGAAAACATTTTCAATCACCATCCAAAGGAACTAGGTCAATGTGGATTTTAGAATTATCGAGCATTGTCTGTAACAAGATGTGAAAAAAACAATACTCACCTCAAACTCCAGAATTCTTTGAGCAGCTGCAATATCCTTCGAACTAGTGGTTTTTGGTTCAAACCATTCACAATCCAGGTTTATTGCCATTTTTGCTGTTGAAAATAGAATATATCAATTGCTCGGTTCAAAATGAAATTTCAGTCGAAATTGTAGCCCAAAAATTAAGTAGGTACTTGTGATTCAATACCAGACAGAGCTGTTTCGACCCGTCAAATATATCATCAGTAATGCTACACAGAACCAGAAAGGCATTGCTGGACTCAACTGTCTTGCGATGATATGTTTTCTTACGAAAACGTCGTCTGTAGAATCAACCGAAGACACAAATATCAAAAATAAACGAGTCCCTAAATGAAGGCCTATTTCTGTGCAGCTTTACCGGCAAGGCAACTGGTTGTAAACGAAGTACGAAAAACAAAGCATTCAGCCTGGCATAACATCTATGCCGGTTCGCAATAGCGATGTGTGATTCGACTGATGATAAATGCGGATGATTCTGATTCAATACAATAAATTGAATGTAGCCGGTGGTAGGAGATCATCTTGAAAAATCAAAAATAAAACTTTCTCCATGTTTTTATACCACTTGTATCTATTCTTAACTAACGTTACTATAGGGTAGGGACATACAATGAACTGAACTAATTAACAATGTTTATCCCTAATGACTTTATGACCTGAATTTTGTTTACCTGGGACAATGTGGGTACGCTGATCTGAAAACCGGCGAGCAGACCAGGTCGATTTGGTCATTTAGTAGATTACATCCACAATGCTCAAGCTTATGAATTTCCAAGGATTCATAATCATTGGGTTTCCAACCATTGTCTGCATAGTGAAAAACTTCCGTTTCGTTTAGATTCGGGAACTTTTGATTGCATTCCAAGGAATGGATCCGAAAGGTCGAATCATGTTTACCTAGTCTAAAGGACCGTTTCGTGTTGAGCGTACCGTTTCGAAAATATTCGGCCACATTGTTCACACTTGAAACAGAGATGGAGAAACAGATTAATTTCTTAGAACTGACCATCACACATAATAAATTTGAGTTCACTGTATTCAGAAAACCTTGCTATACATACATTACAATCCCTAGTGATTCCAACCCAGCAGTCATAAATTTGCAGCCTACAATTCAATGTCACACAGAGCATTGTCGTTACCTTTGTTTCCTAACAATCTAGACAGGGAAAATAAAATAATTATACAGATAGGACATCATGATAGTTCCAACGCAGACACAATCCAGAAATTAATATTCCCCCAGATCAAACAATTAGAAATCAAGAAATTTGTTACGTTAACATATTTGTATAAGAACAGGAACGATTGAGGAATTTTTCAGAAAAAACAAAGTGGAAGTTAGTCAGAAAATAAAGCCTCAAATTTACGTACAGAATAATAAACTCCCGATCAAACAATCAGAAATCAAGTAATGTTTATAGTTCAAATAAACGATATATTACAACCTACCTTTTAACAGCTCCCCTTTAATAATATAGTTAGGAAGCTGAAAAATTTCGTTATTCAATAATCATTTCTGATTATATAAGAATTCAAAGAATTCGGAACCTATCCTTCACTTCTCCCGCAATGCACAATAATTAGTCACGATCTTTTGTTTGCAGGCATGATAGGCGTACACATTCGCGAACCATCAGTCCACCATTTCGTAACTGTGTCATACCAAGTTTCGTACAAATAGAAAGTTTGCCGTTGTTCTATATTTAGTTATTTGTTCTAAGTATTAGTTACGCAATTTCACTATTCTTCTGCTTTCCATGACTGCTTGACGTTTGTTTATTATTTGAATCTTATTGCTATATTTGTACAAGAACAGAAACAATTGTGTGATTTTTCAGAAAGAACAATGTGGAAATGGCTTTCAGGCCACATGCCATCTAATTTTCTTTTTGAAGCCAGAAATAAAGTGGTTTATGAGCTTAGGTTTTCGTAATGTAATAGTATTTATGTTGGACAATGTGGCCGAAATTTCTCAAAACGGTATGAGAAACACGAAAGGTCCCTCAGACGCCTCAGACTAGGTGAAAATGATTCGACGTTTTCAAACCATTCCTTGCAATGCAATAACAAATTGTCGGAAATTTTGCACTATGCAGAAAAGGGTTGGAAACTCAATTATTTGGATGTAACCTACTGAATGTCCAAATCCACCTGGTCCACTCGTCTATTGGATGGCCAGAAAAATTACTAGACACAACTCTGTTGGATAATTCTTTTCAGGATGAGTTGAAAAGTGAAAGTCATTATCATTAAACGGTAAATATTGAAACATGGAAGGAAAAGATCAGTCAAGAAATCCGTTCTATCATCCCAGACGTAGAAACAGCTCAACACGCCTTTCTCAATAGATTGGGGTATTTTCGTGCCATTAACAGCGAAAGTAATTTAACATTTGATCTGATTTAATAATTTTCTAAGGATTTATTTGAATGAATTAACATGAATTTTGTTGATTTCAGAATATTTTCATTTATATATATTTTGATGATTATCCTCGCTGAGCATAAACTGATTTTGAAAACCTTTCTGTTATATTCAATATAAAAAATATATCACCAAAGTTTTTGCAAGCGATACATGGCCATTTAATTTTTTTAAATTGAGGATGCCACCTATTGAGAGTAGGAGTTGAAAATTGAAATGAATATCTACCTGTCTGAACATATTTTGGAATCACTATGAAATTTTAAAAAAATGTGCAATTTTTTTCAATTCCAAAAATATCCTACCTTTTCTATTAGGAAATTCATTTTTATACATGCGATAGACGGCAGCATGAGACATGATAACAACCTTGGCACATTCAAACTCTTGATATTTCAAGCCAGGCGCAATCTCCCCACTACCATACCCATAGTTACAAATTACTTTCGGCTCATTCAGCGTAATCCAGTAGTCAACTTTTTCTAGTCTTTCAATGACTATTCGGGAGTAATCAACGAATATGTCAATAAGTCTTGGGTTGGTCCACCCGCCAAAGTCTTTTTGTAGTTGTTGGGGTAAATCAAAATGATAAAGCGTTACCACTGCTTTCATATTGTATTTCACTATTTCATCAATCAAATCTTCGTAATACTTGAGGCCAACTTCGTTGACGATGCCCATATATCCTGTAGGAAGGATTCTGTAAATAACGGATATATTTTCAAAAAATGTTGGATATCTAGATATTTCAACGTTTTCGGGATTGGAAAATAAATAGTATTTTTTGAGTAACACTCCATTGTGGATATTTCACTGAACAGTTCACAAAATCACAAAACGCATTTTACTATACCTTTACTATAGCTTCCTCAGGCATGTGAGTCAACTTTCGTAGGAAATCACATGAATACCGTTTTCCGTACCTTTCCAACCCACTACATCAACCTTTGATATTTCTTTTGTTTATGACTTACTTATATCATGCATCCCTCAACACATTCAACTCTGTGACAAATAATTTTTTTGTTTCAAAATATCAAGAGTTTCAGAAACAAGTAATGAATATCAATCTGATCGTGTTAACCTAATTGAGATGGATGTAAAAGCTACGTCTAGTTTGAAATGTCAAAGAACCTATTATTTTAGGAGTTCATACAAAACCTTTTAACAGAAACGCGTGCATGACTTGAAACTTCATTTGTCATACTCTTTTCATTTCTTACACAATGTTTTTTTACTTCTATTTTCATTGAATAGCAACTGTTACAGTTTTGAGAACATTCAATGCTCTGGCGTTTCATTCCAGAAAAATATTCTACTTTTTGATCCTCATTCAATTATTCACTTTCTCATATATTTGAACTGATTTCAAATCTATAAACTCTACTAATTGATGAACTTGTAAAGATGTGGTCTTACAGATATGGAAAATAGAAATTAGTTACTATCATTTTCTGAAATTCATTTTTTCAGGACATATATCTTCTATTCCATGAAGCAAGTGTTAGTTCTCACCAGGTGTGGACGTGTTTATCGGCTCTGCCCATAGTGGTGTTTTTCAATCAATAATACTTAGTATTTCTATTTAGAAAATTCACAGTGTTTGAAGTAAAACAAAAGCGAATCAAATTCAAATCATCTAATTATGTCTAATAATAAAAAGTGTAAGGCATGCGAGCAAGTTTGTTCCAAAAAGTCGCCAGGTCTTCAGTGTGCAGGTTTTTGCGGTAATTTTTTTCATGCAAATTCTAAATGCTCCGATATATCGAGAGCCCAACTCGGACTCATTAACAGTCTACCTGGTAATCGATGGGAGTGTATCGACTGTAGATCCGATGAGCAAGGCCGAATTCGAACTCGTAGCTATACCCAGCAACAAGTAGGATCTAAATCAGCTGATCGGCGTTCTCTCCTGATACAGGACATCGAATTATCGGAATTAGATTCAGAAGAGGATATTTCAAACGAAGACAAAACCTCCGGGTTCAATATTCTGCTTAAAGAGATGAGAGATCTTCGCAAATCGGTTGAGTTTTGTTCCAACAAAATATCAAATTTTGAAAAAAAGTTATCAAAACTTGATAATTATTTTAAAGCTACGGATCAATTAAAATTAGAAAATAATCAGCTCAAATCTGAGATGAAAGATTTACGTAAAAAAGTCGAGCATCTAGAACAAATTAATAAAGCAAATAATGTTGAAATCCATGATATTCCAGAGAAGAAAGGAGAAAATTTATTCGTCTTGTTCAATAAGATAGCTAATTTTTTGAATCTTCCTTATACCGAGGAAGTAATCAATACAATCTACAGAACACAAACCCGGACCGAAAACAAACCTAAAAATATTGTCATTCAATTTCTTTCCAAGCGTAGCCGTGACAGTTTTCTAAATGCAGCTAGATTGTTACGTAAGCAAGATGAATACAAGTATGGATTTAAACTGGATGGTGTATCCCAAAAATTCTTCATCAACGAACATTTGGCAACTCATACGAAAATACTTTTCAAAGAAGTTCGGGAAAANTTTCATAGATACTTCCACGGAAGATGTTCAAGTGACTTGGCATATTTGATTCCACGAAGAGCGGTACATATCAGAAATAAGCAACGGAGTGAGGCTGCTCATTGTTTTGTGGTTCAACTCAGTACAGGTTCAAACTTCTCTGTTTAAGAACTCTTTCATTTGGAGAACTACGTTTATGCGGAATAAACTTCTTGAGAACGTTTTTTCAAATGAATTTAATCTTCAACGATTCAAATCCAACGTGAATCGCTACTTTCGCACAGGCACTGATCCCAGAGCGCCTTAAGGATTTTCCTGTAGTGTTTTTCCTGTTTTTTCCTTGGTGAAAAATCAATAATGATAACTTGGATTGCTGAAAGTTGTTTTGAATCTGTTAGTATATTCTTGAGAAATTCACAACCATATCAGGTATAGTCGAAGTAAACGATATTGTGCACACTTAAAGTTGGCTAGAACAAATAACCAAATATAGACCAGAAACCTCGGCAAAATTTCTATTTTGATGAAAATTGGTATGACCTTTACGACACGTAAGGGTAGACTGATGGTTCGAGAATGTGTACACTGGCATGAAAGGATTAAAAATGTTCGGATAAGTTTCCGCGGTCAGTAATTTGATATTCTGTTGTCCCGGTTGAACCGCGTCCATACTTTTCATCGTTTCGACTCCTGCTTTGGAGCCATTTTCAAGAATCATTTAGATTTGTACTTACATGACTAGAGTACGAGGTCGTAATCTCCCTGGTCCCCAAGTCCCGTTACTAGCTCTATGCTTGCTGTGTGCGAACTTAGAGTGGAACACAGCAAGCATAGAACTAGTAACGAGACTTGGGGACAAGGGAGATTCTGACCTTGTCGAGTCATGTAAGTACAAATCTAAGTGATTTTTGAAAATGGCTTCAATGCAGGACAACAGTATATCATATATTTATACTTATACGATTTTATCGAGTGGGTATGATATAAAAATCAAAAATGAAACAATTGGTGGACAGAACACTCCAAAAATGGGGCAAACCGCAAACACGTGTTTCTGGCTATTGGCCTCATCAGCGCGGTACTATATGGTTTACTTGAATTGTAAAAGACATTCGCACAACTACCCATACTTGGGTAACTCAACGATAACCCACTTCTACCGAGGAAACTACGGTGTTAGCGAAACGTGTGTAGAAATAAAAATGATTGTGAAAATTGTTCAATTATTACCATGGACAAATAATGCTAAAGTGCTGCCATTCCATAGCTCACCTTCAATTTAACCATGAAGACTTCTTAGCTGATATCATCATCAAAGTAAGAATCACACTGGCACTAATATCGATTAGAAAATCTTCAGAAAGTCACGCCATAATAGTAGGAAATCACTAACTAGCAAGTGTTCAAGCTGAAACTGCGGTAGAATCATGTTTACATCCTATTTTTAGGAAAATCGTAAAATTTTTAAACATCAGGTGAATGGTGTCAGAGAATGGAAATATATCGTCAAAAGGTCGATATATTAAAACTATAAGCTCATAGATACATAAGTCATTCCAAACTGTTGTACACAGCCTTAACACTAGTAATTTATCAATTCATTGTATGAGGTGTGTAATACAAAGTATATTCCCTTGGATGAAACGAACTTATGCTCGGGTGAGAGTGTGGAATGAAAATGACTCATCGGTGAGGTATGAGATGATGATGGTATTAATGTAAACAAAGGATCGCTAATGTGATAACTCTTTCGTTCGGGGACTTCAATTAACACAACACGGGAAAACGTAGACCTGAGATTTATAACACTTCAATTCATATTTTATAACAAAATATTTTTCAATAATAATTCGAAATCAATAATGTAAATACTGAAGATCATTCAACTGAAGGTAATGTTTCGGTATCCCGATTCCAGAAAAAA